CTCCCTCCCGATTGAAAAAGACAACCGCATCCTCAGTTGTCAGCCCTTTCCTCACGAGCCTCCGTACCTCTGCACTTTACTTCTGCACCTCCTCTGAGTCTCAGTGTGCTTTTCTCTTTCCTTCTAGTTGTAGAATTTCCACTCAGCCAGCCTTCCTGTGGTTCTGGATGATGTCTGTTTTGTCTTTTAGTTGTATTTTTGAAGTGGTTGTTCGAGGCAGCAATTTCCGGTGTTTACCTATGCCCCCATCTTGGTTTCTCCTAAGTGCTCCGTTTTTAAAACGTTTAAGATATCCCCTAGCTCTGTCTGGAGCCTTAGGTTTCGCTAACTCGGCCTGTGCTCCCAGCCCCTTGCCTAGACTCTCTGGGCCTCGGTGTCCTGTAAAGTAGATGGTGTCAGCCTGTGGCTTCGGAGCCTCCCAACCCCAGCTGGGCCCATTCTGTGGCCTGTGATTTTGACCAACCTGGGAAAGGAGTGACAGCCCATTCATTGGGGATTCCCTCTGCCCACAGGGCCTCCCCCAGGTCTGTTTTGGTGCCCAGGTGCCCTTGCTCACACACCCTCAGGGCTCCCCTTCCTGGGAGAGATTGCAGGGGAGTTCCAGGCAGCCCTTGGTGTAGCAGCTTTTATGAACGCTGCACCTTCCCTTTTAACTGAGGCCCAAAATTATCAGTTGTTTGGCAAGACCGGTGTCCTGCCATGGGCTCTGGCCATGTAGCCACATGGTCCTGCCACAGGCTGGAATCTAGAGCATAGCTGGCCCTCAGCCCACCTGCAGGGTGATGGATTGACCAGGATCCTGCCTGTTCAGAGTAATGCTGGCATCCCAGGCCTTCTATGAAGTGCTTAACTTTCATGCTAGCGCATAACAGCCTGCACAGGTGGGTGCAGATGAGGAAACCGAGGTCAGGGAAGGTTAAGTGACTTCCTCATGGAGCAGGTGTTTAAGTCATGAGATCTGATTCCAAATCTGTAGCCCCACCTGCCATACTGGTCTCTCTCTGGGGTCTTTGGAGGAATTTTCTGTGGCTGGGATAGAAACATCATGACCTGGTGTCCTCCCAGTAGGTCCCCCTCAGCCCCCTCAAAGAGAGGGAGCTGGCATCCGGGACCCCAGGGAGCCGAGCAGCCCTCCATCCCAGCGTTCCTCACTCCCTGGCAGTCTCGGGGGCCTCAGACCATGTTCCTGGGCAGCTCGAGCATAAAACAGCAGATGCCGTCCTTAAAATCAAGTCTAGGGGAAGGGATCTTTGACAAGTAAAACCCTCAGGCTGTGTGGGAATCCAGCGGGTTATTAAAGGTTGTTGGGAGAAGAGGGTCTTTCTTTCCCACCAGCCCTGAGTCCCAGGGGGCCCTGGGCAGCTCCGGACACAGTGTGTGTCACAGGAAGAAGGAAATGGAGAGCGAGGGTGCTGGGGACTACAGCTGCCTTGTCAAAAAAAAAAACAACAACAACCAACCTTGGGATGTTGTTTCAGCCTTTCTGTTAAAAAAGAAAAGGGAAATTAGCAGTATGGATTTTTTTAAAGAGGGAAGGAGTGGCAATTGGGGTGTTCCTGGGGCAGCCTCTAGAATGTTGGATGGAAAAGCTCTCAGGTACCAAAGCATGGAAACCACCCAGACCATCATCCATTGTTCAGATGAAGAAACTGAAGCCCAGAGAGAGGCAGGAACGTCCCAAGGTCACAGCCAGTGACAGGCAAAGCCAGAGAGCCTGGCTCAGCCCTTGCCCATCCGGGAGCCGTACCCGGACACCAGGACTGTGCAGGCCAGCGCACAGTGGGGTGTCATGGAAGGCTGCACTGTGCGCCAGGGTGGTCTGTCAGGGCACTGCAGTCCCTGCTGATGGGGCATCAGCTTTTATTTATGTTACTGAATTTATTGGGGTGACATTGGTTTGCAAAACCATACGAGTTTCAAGTGCACAACTCAATAAAACATCTGCACCCTGTATCATGTGCCCTTGCCCATGAACCATCAGCTTTGCTCAGAGGGGAGGAAACGTTTTATTGTACATACCATCGTGGAGTGGAACATAAAATCCACATAGATTGCTCTATCTGGTTTGGCTCAGTGGATAGAGCATCGGCCTGTGGACTGAAGAGTCCCGGGTTTGATTCCGGTCAAGGGCACATGCCCGGGTTGCTGGCTGGATCCCCAGTAGGGGACATGCAGGAGGCAGCCAATCAATGATTCTCTCTCATTGATGTTTCTATCTCTTCCTCTCAGTAACAGGCCGACGCTCTATCCACTGAGCCAAACCGGTTTCGGCAAGAATGTATTTTTAAAAATAAAATTCACACAGATCCTAGGATAGAATAGATGCCTCAAGAGAATTCATGCTGACAGTAGGTACCCTCCCAATCCCTAGAGGCGTGCTCACTGTCCTGTTGGAGGGTGTGTTTGAGAAGCTTTGCTGTGTCATGCTGCCATGTGCATGGGATCTCCACTCTGCTGCTGAGTCTGGAGGGCTGGAGGGGATGTCTTAGCTGGGGCCCTACCGTTCTGAATGGAGTAAGGAGGCCCTGAATGGCATGGAGACCCTGAACCCCCAAATCAGAATTGACTGATAGACTTCTGCAAACATCAGTTCAAACACAATGTAATTTAAACCATCTGTATTGTAGTGAACTCAGCAGTCCCTGCCCATCACAGAGTGGTCCTGGGAGAGCCTGAGGCCCTGGAGTGCCCCTCCACTCCTCTCACCGGAACCTGCCCACCGGGCAGAAATGTAGGGCCCTGCCAAGTGGTTCTGTTTGCTTTCACTTTGTCCGAAGGTCTCAGCATAGTTGCAGCAAACAACACTCCAGGAGGTCAGAGCCCTGACCCCTAATGAGGATGGGCGGGGGCCTGGAGCAGAGGGTCACCTGGTGCAGGGGAGAGAAGCAGAATCAGGAGTCAGAGAGTGTGTCCTCAGCCCTGCCTCTACCTCAACGGGGTGACCGAGGACCAGTCACGTTACCTCTCAAGACCTTGGCTATCTATAAAAAGGCGAGCTTCTCAGCATTCCTAAATGTGTCCACCTCCCTAACCCACCTGTAGATCAATATTCTTTCATATTTGCCTGGGTTTAGAGCCCCTCTGGCCTTTTGTTGACTACATCCCTTCAAAACCTGCCGTCAGCAGGGAGTTCCCTATGTAGCCATGAAAGTTTATAAATCACCCTTCTTCATTGTCACAAAAAATTTTTAATGAGGGATTTCTGTCCCAGAATTCAGCATGTGTCAGAACTTACTTTTTTAAGGCTGAATAATAGTCCATTGTATGTATATACCACAATTTGTTTATTCATCCATTGGGACATTTTGGACTATTGGGAATAACACTGCTATGTGTACAAATACCTTTTCAAGTCCCTGCTTTTAATTCTTTTTAAATTAACATTGATTTTTTTGTTTGTTTGTTTTAGAGAGGAAGGGAGAGAGAGAGGGAGAAACATCGATGTAAGAGAGAAACATGGATAGGCTGCCTCCTGCACACACCCTGGCAATACTGAGCATGTGCCCTCACTGGGAATGGAACCAACAGAGCCACACTGGCCAGGCCTCTGCTTTTAATTCTTTTGAGTATATACCCAGAAGTGGAATTGCTGGATCGTATGCTAATTCTATGTTTAACTGTTGGGCCAATTGCCATACTATTTTTCCACTGTGGTTGCATCATTTTAAATTCCCACCAGCAGTGAACAAGGGTTCTGTGAAATCGCTAATTTTGTAATGGCATTTTTCCTGATTATAGTAAGTGTTAACTGTAGGACATTTAGAAAATGCAAGGAAGTAAAACGGAGAAAGTAAAATCCCCTTTATTCTCACTACCCAGTTCTACACTTGGCCTGAATGCGGATTATCCACAATAGGAAGGAAGGTGACGTTTCCCTGGGACAATTCTTTTGTAATGTCCGAGAGCGTGACCCAAGAATAGTGCTGAGGTCCCGCCAGACCCTATCCGCAGATCCCGAACTATCAAGAACATGCAGTTAAACTGGCTTGTGAGTCATATTCGCGGGGTGTTCCCGGGAGGGTCACAGGCGCGACAGGGGGTTGTCACGTTCTCTGTAGGTCTGTTTCCTCATCTTTAAACGCCGTCTCTGGGTAGAAAGAGCAAAACATAAAACGTTTGAGCCAAGTGACTTGTCAGAAACGCGATCTGCAAACTCATCTCCACCTCCAGAATCGAGCTTTCCTTTGTCCACCAGAGGGCACCGGAGGACACGAGTCTGCCAGCATCGCTACAAACAAGTAGAGGAAGGTAGAAAGTCCCGCCTCCTTTCACTTCTTCAAGTGTCCATTGGCTGATCCGACCGTCGATCTTTCACGTCCCCGTTCCTCTTCCTATCACTGCCGCCGTCAGCCTCCAGGCCTGTGCTCTCATTGGTTGCCCCCGTGGTCGCTCTGCTCCGGAGGCAGCCACTGGGAGTCGCAGGATTCGGTTTTAAAAAACGCCGGCGGTGATCGGCTGTGCGAGCCATTTGAACCCCAGGCAGCGCGTTCCGCGTGGGTCCTACCCCGGGGGCGGACGGGACCCGGGCGCTCCCAGACCTCCCAGTCGCCAGCCTCAACCCCCAAATCC